GAGAATACCATTCTAAATTTTCTTCTTACCTTTTTTTTTTTATCCAAATACTTTTATTTTGTAAGAAATTTAATTTTATTATATTTAAATTATTTTATACCATTATAAAATGTCATTTTTTTAATATCAACTTATTCGATGATCCCTTTCTAAAAGATGCATTTTTTAAGCATAATAAAAAAATTCTTTTGAAAAAACTAAAGCATATTCCTTTTGCTTTTGTTCATTAATATTAAACTTTTATTAATCTTATTTATTATTAAAAAATAAATTAGCAAATAATTTTATATATTTATATAAACAATTTTGTTTCGATTGCTCACTATTTATTATATCGTTTATGTTTCTTAATTACCCAACATAAATAATCAATATTTTACTTTCTCAACTAATCATATTATCATAAAATATCACGTGACTGTATTCTCAGACTACCGAATAATCAACCCCACCGAACCCGAACCCCAGTTCAAACCCCCCAAATAAGTTTTTTGTTCTTGTTTTGTAGTGATTTATTTGAAATTGAGATGTAATAATGCCCAAACCATTTTGGTTTTGATTTTAAGAGTTCATGTAGTTCTACTAGGGCTTATGATTAGAGGCAAGGGTTGAATGATACAGAATCTATTATGATCTCATGTCAAAACAAAATATGATTAGCCTTGTTAGTATAAATTATCTACGGGTAAATTACCAATAGATTTTACTTTCGGGATTTATCACCTATTAAATTTTATTGATAAATTTATCAAGAGATAAATTAATCAATTTCTCTTTCTTTTTTTTTATAAATAAATTTACAACAATAAACTTATCAATCAAAACATGTAAATAAATAAATCTAATTAATGAGACTGGTTGGTAAGTGCTTATTTGAAATTCACTAATAATTTTTTGGTTTCTAAAGGTGAATCCTATATATAAGAGATGTGTATCATTTAATATCAAAGCATGGGGACATCACCAAAATTTTGTGATGAAAATCTTAAAAAACAATATAATACATCTAGAAAGTGATAGGAGACATGGCCAATATTTTGAAATTCTTATTGTCCATTACAAAAATACTATGTATCATGAAAATTTATTTCAAATTTTATTCACTACAAAAAAAAGCACTTTTGGAGACTAAGTTTTTGGTCGCCAAAAGTCCGTTTTTAGTCACCGAAAGTCGAAATTTTACTTTCTCCGACAAAATTTTTTAGTCGCCACATTTGTCGCGTATACGTGGTCAGCGGAGGTATTGCCAAAATATAGGTCTTTAGCGACCAAAGTTTTAGTCGCCAATAGTCTTTTACACTTTTGAAAATCATACATTTACCGACTAATAATTTAGTCGCCAAAACTCACTAAATCGCCGACTAAACCGTTTAGTCTCCAAAATAAAGACTTTTGGCGACTAATAATTTTAGTAGCCAAAGGTGTTTCCGTCAAAAAAAAAAAACCCCACTTTTTTGCTTTTTCTGAGTTTCAAACTGCCAACCGTCCCACATTCCAAACCTAGCAACACACTCCCTCCACTATACCACTACAACATCACATGAATATATATACAATCTATATTATTTATATAGTATATTGACCGGTATTAAATTTATGTAAAAAATAAATTATTTACTAAAAAAAATTTAGGCCACTTTTGACGACTAAATTAAATTTTTAGTTGCCAATTCTACAATTTTCGGCTACTAATTAGTTTTTAGTCGCTAAAAAATTAAGTTCCGTCTAAAAATAAAGCAGTTTTGGCGACTAAACCTGTTTTAGTCACCAAAACCATCACTTTTGGCTACTAAACTGAGTTTTAGTCGGCAATTGATTGTTTTTAGCTACTAATTTTTTTTTGTAGCCAAAAAGCATCACTTTCAGCGACCAAACTGTTTTTAGTCGGCAAAACACCTATAATCGGCGACCAAACTGTTTTTCAGTCGCCAAAACCATCACTTTATTTTAGTCGCCAAAAACCGTGACTTTTGGCTACTAAACAACCTTTAGTCGCTAAAACCCCTATATTCGGCAACTAAACTGCATTTTAGTCGCTAAAACCCTTATATTTGGCGACTAAACTCTTTTAGTCGGCAAAAGTGATCAATTTTGGCGACTAATTCCATTTTAGTCGCCAATGCTACTACTTTCAGCGACAAAAAATGCAGTTTTAGTCGCGAAATCTGCTTTTTGTTGTAGTAATTCTAAAAATGAATGTATTTTGTAAATTTAATATTTTTGCTCTGAAAGTAAATGTATGTGTAAATTTATAAGTAAAGAAACCTCAGAATAAATGTATGGTGTAAATTTATGAGTGCGAATCATATACACTTATTATGTATCTTTATAGTGTATGTTATATTTTTTTATAATAAAATATTACGTAATTTTTTAGTAGAAATACGACAATTTGTGATTCGGAAATAAAATTACGCATTTTGTGGTAATGTTACATATTTTTTTATCCAAACATCTTTTAACCAAAAAATTTATAACATTATCACAAAAATACGTAGTATTACTACAAAACACGTAACTTCATTTATAAATCATAAATTGTCTTAACTCTACTAGAAAAAAATAAATAACTTTTAGCACAAATACATAATATATACTACAAAAATAATAATGTATATGATACCCACCTTTTAAGCTGCGTGTAGCATAGCATTACCTTTATTTTTTTTATCCATCCATTGCCTACCCTCTCTGGGTTGTCTGTCTTTTGCCTTAATTCCATCACCTTCATATTCAAACCGATTGATATCAACAAAACACAAATAAATTTGTAATTATCCAGTATCTTTCTTCTATGTATCAACATATTTGTATGTACAAACATCATCATAAAAGAAATAGAAACTAATGGAGGTTTTGATTAAGGAAAGTGGATAACCTTGAGGGTAAATTCAACTGGTGACTACAAATATCTATAATTTAATATGTAGAGATGTGTGCCTTAGAAAGTTTCTCACCATTAAAAAAAAGAAGAAATTATTGGATGCTTGGAACCATATTTGTAAAAAGAATTTACCAAAAAAAACTGTAACCGAGAATTACTTTAATAAATATATACATATATTGTGGGAGCTGAATAGAAATAAATCTAATCGGCAAACAGAATACAAAGATGGGCTTGATTTAGCCAAGACCTATTGGACTCAAACAAGTCATTGTCGAGTAGATACCAATGGGATGAAGAACGTGCTGAGTTAAGGATACCTAGACCGTATGTTTGAGCCGAGTATATTAGATAAGTCGGCATGACCCCTTTAGGTGGCCTAGAATGTCCTCTTTTGAAAAATATAATAGGGAGATGGGCCCTGACATCATGATGATGAAGGGCTAAGTTGTAGGAGAAAATATCAAGGTAACAAAGACTGTTGTAGGGGAAAATATCAAGGTAACAAAGACTCTTCTTTCTAAAAAAAATTAACTTGCTCGTTGGAGTGTAAATTCGGACACCACCGACCGGATTTTTTCTTCTATTTCAAGTGACATCTCAAGGATCTTTCAAGAGTTTGTTTGGATTAAAGGAGTATTCCAAAACCACTCCCCACACATGTATGTATATATATCTTTTAAATAGTTGTTTGGATAGTTTAACACATTATTAGGATCACCACATTGTGTTTAATTTACACATTGAATAAATACAAATCGGTTTGCTAAGACTATGTCTTATTGATGCAATTGGATTGTAAAGAACATTATCAACGAAATTAAACAAGCAATGTAACCAAATGTTTATATTTTATTTTTACTTTTTTTAACTTTAAATTATAATAATTATATTATATAGGGTAGCTAGGGTTTATACTTAATTCAATAAGTCCTTTTCCTTCACATTTTCTATTGATTCTTGAAATGGATGTGATTTAGGTAGATTTCCCCCACATTCTCCCTCTCGCTCTCTTTCTCATTCTCATGAATTGTTTGTAATAGATTAGTTGCCCATGGGAATTTTGCTGTATTATGAACTTGTATAATAATGACTTGTCCTTGTTGTATGCTCTTTATTTGCACTAATGAATGTTATCTTGACAAAAGTAGAAACAAAAAAATAACCCAATCCACCTTCCCCAATCCAACCCATTTTGGTTTCATATGAGTTTATGTAATTCTACCGGCGTGGAGCTGAGGATACAGGTAAGGGTTCAATTATGCGGAATCTATTACGGTTTCACATATGAACAAAATATAATTAGCCTTAGTTATATGAATCATTTGGGATCCCTCTTCTTGTAAACTGACTTTCAAAAGTAAATTCTGTTTTAAGAGATTTGTATCATTTAGTATCAAAGCATTTGTGACATAGTCAAGATATTCAAAATCTTAAAACACAATCATAAATCTAGAAGTGCATTAGATACATGGCTAAAATTTTGAAAATCTTATCATCGAATTACAAAAATGTTATGAACCATGAAAATTTATTTCGAATTTTACTTCAATGAATGTATATATTTAACATAAGTGAAATCACATAATGAATGTAATCCGTCCTTCACTTTTTTAGTTAATTTTTATAAACATGTAGTATCATTGATTGAATCAATAGCTTGATTTCCATTCTTGACTAAAGGATTTTTAAAAACAAAACATTGCTATGTTTGAATCTTGATATTGTGATGGAGTGAAGGTATTTTAGAGAACACAAAACTAAGAGATTCAAGGAAGGAAACATTGCTTTGATTCCTCCATTGCCAACCCTCTCTGGGTTTTCTCTCTTGTGCCTTAATTCCATCACCTTCATATCCAAACAAATTGATATCGTCGAAACAGAAATAAATTTGTAATTATCCAATATCTCTCTTTTATGTATCAACATAATTTTATGTACAAATATCATCATAAAAGAAAATAGAAACTAACGGAGGCTTTGATTAAGGGAAGTGGATAACCTTGAGGGTAAATTCAACTGGTGTCCTGAAATTCTAATTTTCCAATTTTGACCTTTAATTATGCATAAATATCAGCCATGAAAGCCATAATAAATGAACAATTTGAGGATAATATTGGTATGGAACAAAATCCACACAACACCAATAGCCTTCTGCCTTCATATATTAGTATAGAGGTAATATCAACCACACCGAAACAATCATTAAAAAAATAATCAAGTAAACTAGCACATTACAGGTACAAAGAAATTTGAAGAAGTAATCTTTGTAACTGACAAAGTCAGTATCAAGAATATCACCATCATGGAAGACGGAGGAGCCTATTCACAGCCGAGTCCAAAGTATCTACGTTCTCAGAATTTTTCTTTACAAACATCAGGGAATCAAATCCAATGGAACTGCAGAGTGAAAATCTTTGTATAGATGAAAGATTACATCAAATGCTACCAAGATTTTGAAGTTCTGATTCAAAATTCAGAATATTAGCTTGTCAAAACTTGACATAACACCAATGAACCACCAAAAAAGTTCTTTGGCCCTTGATGTCAATATGTGTAAGTGTTATTAATGTACGATTGAAAAAATTAAAAAAAAAAATGAAAAGAGAAAAAAAGAAGGATGTCAATCTCTCTGGTCTTGAACCTTAGAAATTTATCATACAAGAAAGGAGAAGGGAGAAGCAATATATATAAAGTAAGCTCAAGTAAAACCAAGGATACAGTCGTGTGGCTAGACTATCCATGCCTTTCATTACCTCATTTAACCTGCAAACAAGCAAGTTCCTTTATATGTAAAATGATAATATTTGATGCTATAATGAAGGCACTGAAGTTCAATCCCCAAGGAGTAGCAGCTCCCACATTTATATCTGAAGTTCCAGTTCTAGATTTGATTTAAGATCCCTGAAACTCTCGAGTCACCAACTGGCTGCTGCAAAATGACGCAGGCAACAACCAACCTTCCTCCCAATGAAATTTATCAAAATTTATTCCTTTTCTTTTCCTTTCATTTTGGCAGTACTTCAATTTTAAATTTTAACCAACTACTAAAAAGTTTGCCTTAGATATTGCCACAAAATGTATATTGTCACACAGTTATTGTCCAGCTCCAGTTTCCATAACTTCCCATGTAAATGGCATTAGAACCAAGCAAAACATCCTTTCGGAACAGTAGTTCAAAATTGATCAAAACATGCTGAAAAGTTATCAGTATTTATCAAAATGGCAAGGTGAAATCAAATTATATACCTGAGACAGGAATTTATATAGCAATTCCCTTTTGTTGCTGCATCAAGTGCTGCAAAAGAAGAATAAAATTCAAATCAGAGGATCCAAAATATAGGTCAGCAACAATTGGGTTTAATAATAATTAAGGATGAAATATAAGAAAAGTGAGCCTCGTGTGTGTGTGTGTGTGTGAGAGAGAGAGAGAGAGAGAGAGAGAGAGAGAGAGAGAATAAGTCACAAGGAGAAACTAATGCAGAAATAAAACCTCAACCAAAAACTAACTGTTGTTTTGCAAGAGAGAGTCTACGGCCAGACACTACCAAATTAAAAAATGAATATATTCAATGTTGACAACTTTTCATTACATTGAGATGGTACCAAATATAATACAAAAACAAAAATTGAAGCCCTAAAGGAAATGCAGTCAGTAATATTGTGCATTCACTTATAATAAGACGAATGAAGTCTCACAAAACTACACTACAAGTATCGGCACCAATTCCTTCCAACCAAACTAGGGTGAAGCAACCATAACATGTTAATCACCCATAACCTTCCTAAACCACTACAGGAATTTAAATCCTAGACTTTTCTAGTGAGCTTCAACTTGTATTAGAGAACTGTTATGCTAAATAACTGCTTCAATTTGGCTAGTAGTATATTCTTTTGCATTCCTCTGTTCAACAAGAGAAAGCAGACAGAAAGATTGCAAAGAACTTAATTCCTCTTTGCAATAAATTTTCCCTTCTCTTCTCTTCTTGTGTCAGGCAACCTATGAGCACCTTAGAAGTCATAATCATACTGGATTGTAGACCGATGCCATGGAGGGAAATGACAATTATATGGATATCCTATATTTTTGTTGGAACAATCTTCTGTGTAAAATAAATAACTAGAAACAAATCAAATAAACAAAATAAATTACTTACAAAATTTATTTACTGAAACAACTTAAGAACACGAATGAGTGTGATACTCTATCCTTAAGACAGATTCGCCCCGCTCAGGTGCTTACGGAATAATGGCGTCCATCTCCCAGGATATAATGATCTTTCACAGATTGTATTAGCACTAAAAACAATCTGTTTCGGCGAAATAGAACCTGTGTTCTATACTCTCAGAATTTTGTCTAAAATTAATAATATGAAGAATATATATATACAGGAGAGCAAAAAGGAAGACAACAAGAGAATTTTTGGATTGAACAAACTGCCGGAAGAGGGTCTTAATTTTATAGGCAAATTGGTGTCTTTTCGGAAGACTTGAACAGGTGCAATTTTGAACTGAACAGGTGTATTTCAAACTGAACAAGTGCAGAATTCAAATTGAACAGATACAGAATTCAAATTTGTTCGAAACAGTTGAATTCAAATTTGGCGCAAAATTTGAATTAATTCCGTTCAGAAATTCAAATAATTTTTCCGTAAAAATTCAAATGAATTTTGTCCAAAAAATTAATGTTAGGACTAGACCCACAACCCACACCCGGCCTGGTGCCCATGTGGTGGTTTGAACCAAAGCCCACTTTGTCCATAACTCCTCCCTTCTACAAACTTGGGGTGCCCCTTGAGGCGCCCAACCCAAGTTTGTCCACCTAGAACTTATATACACACACAAGCTCTGTTAAAGTTTCAATGTGGGACAACTATTTTAAGGTAAACCACATTTGACTCTTTAATTTTCCCATTTCACGAACACAAAAACGACGTCAAGTTCCCATTTACTCAAAAATGGTTTTAACGAACCATTTGCATTGTGTGACTTGCTATGTGGCAAGGAACACATCACCTCTTTGGACCCACCTCAAAAGACGTGAGGGCCCCACTCAAATTTGGGCTTAAAGAAGGTCCAAAATAAGCCTTAAAAAAACCTTATAAAACCATAATTTCCAACAATTTTTAACACAAAAATTCAATTATTCTCAATTCTACCAAAACATTTAGAGTTTATTAAACACACAAATATATAAAGCACAATATCAATCACTATAATCACAATTTACCACATTCTTGAAGTCGGCCTGCAGCATCACTGAAGCATCGCATATGGTAAACTGAAGAGCTTGTTACCTGCAAAATATTACTTTGTGTCACCAGATAGACACAATCTTCAATCAAAAATCCAATTGCAACTCCATGGAAATTAAAAAATCCCAACTTCATACATATTTTGACTATGTTTATTTGATTTAACAGTTTATCAAACTGACACATATAATATATACACAATCTTTTAAATTCTTGTACAGCTTACTTCAGGTCTCTAGTCTAGCATCCAAATCCACTATCATCTACCACTTCAACAATGTCAAACAAACTGCATACATCAATTTTTCACTCAACAGTTTCCCCATACCAAATAAGGAAAAATGGTTCACTGTTTGAAACAGTTGAATTAAAATTTGGCGCAAAATTTGAATTAATTCCGTTCAAAAATTCAAATAATTTTCCCTTCAAATGAATTTTGTCCAAAAAATTAATGTTAGGAATCGACCCACAGCCCACACCCGGCCTGGTGCCCGTGTGGTGGTTTGAGCCAAAGCCCACTTTGTCCATAATTCCTCCCTTCTACAACCTTGGGGTGCCCCTTGGGGCCCAACCCAAGTTTGTTCACCTAGAGCTTATATACACACACAAGCTCTGTTAAAGTTTCAGTGTGGGACAACTATTTTAAGGTAACCCACATTTGACTCTTTAATTTCCCATTTCACGAACTCAAAACCGACGTCAAGCTCCCATTCACTCAAAAATGGTTTTAACGAACCGTCTGTATCGTGTGACTTGCCATGTGGTAAGGAACACGTCACCTCTTTGGACCCACCTCAAAAAACATGTGGGCCCCACACTCAAATTTGGGCTCAAAGAAGGCCCAAAATAAGCCTTAAAAAACCCTTATAAAAACCATAATTTCCAACAATTTTTAACACAAAAATTCAATTACTCTCACTTTTACCAAAACATTTTGAGTTTATTAAACACATAAATATATAAAGCACAATATCAATCACTATAATCACAATTTACCACATTCTTGAAGTCGGCCTGCAGCATCGCATATGGTAAACTGAAGTGCTTGTTACCTGCGAAATATTACTGTGTCACCAGATAGACACAATCTTCAATCAAAAAATCCAATTGCAACTCCATGGAAATTCAAAAATCCCAACTTCGTACATACTTTGACCATGTTTATTTGATTTAATAGTTTATCAAACTGACACATATAATATATATACAATCTTTTAAATTCTCGTGCAGCTTACTTCAGGTCTCTAGTCTAGCATCCAAATCCACTATCATCTACCACTTCAACAATGTCAAACAAACTGCATACATCAAATTTTCACTCAACAGGTTCGCCATACCAAATAAGGAAAAATGGTTCACTGTAAAGTTGCAATAAAGATATCCACCATCAATTTTTGCTGGAAAATCGGTTCCTAACGAAAGAAACAGAACTCTTCCAAGAGCAAGTCCTCATTTTTAACCAAAACCAAATGCCCAATTTTCCATTTTATCCCTCTTCAAATGAACACAAAATCTGAGAATAAGAAACTAACAATTACACAAACTTGGATCAGAATGTATTCATAAACAATTGAATTATTCCCCCACCATCACAATCAAAATTTTCCCCTCTAAAGAAACAGAACAATTCGAATAGAAAAGGCCGCATTTTTATCCTTCTTCCAGTGAAGACATAATCTAATAATATGAAACTAGCAATTATAGAAACTTGGACAAGACATTTCATAAACAATTGCGGTGAATAACAGAGAAGTTGAAGAAGATTATACAAAATTGACTGACTGACTGACCTCGGAGAGAGCCAAGCGTAGGGAAGCGAAGAGAGAGGTGAAGCTGTCGGCGATCGCCACCGGGTCCCTCTCCAACGATGTCGATTTCGATACTCTCCTTCTGAGACAAGGGTTTCATTCGTCGCTTTCTCTGACTCCATCGTTTTCCGGCGATTTTCTCACTCAAAAGTTAATTAATCGACTCTCAAAACAAGGGGGAAATTATTGGAGGAGCTGCTGCTGATTTTTTCTCTAACTAGTGGCCGAGATAGGTGTGCAAATTCACAAAAAAAAAAAAATTACGTTAGGTTAAGTTTGACAACCTAAAAATAATTTATTTTTTTATTTTTTTATTTTTTTTACATATTTTCGTAAAAAGGCAATAAATATATTTATTTAGGTCATTCCAAACAATCCTCAATGTGTTTGATTTGACTTTTCTGGATTAAGTTTTTTAAAAATTGAGTTTTTTAGTTTTCGTATTCTTTTATTTTTAGTGAATATTTTTTAAATTTTAAATATTTTATTTTATTTTTTTAAATGCACCTTAGTTAGATGTATCTAAAAAGTAAAAAATTTGTGAAAAAATATTTTAAAAAATTAATAAATACATAAAAATATAAAAAATGTACTAAATTTTTGTATTTTTTTTTGTATTTTTGGTATTTAGTGAATTTTTAAAAGATTTTTTTTTACAATTTTTTTACTTTTTAGACGAAGAAGATTGTACTAAATCTTTTTGGAAAGAAAAATTCATTAATAGCTTACCTAGTCTTTTTGCTCACAAAATTAGAGATGTTCTTAGTCAACCTACTGATGTTATTGAATATGATAATTTAACTTATGGTAATATAATTAGCACTATTTAAAAAGAAGGATTACAAAGGGACGGAAGCAAGGAATGAGGAAACAACACTAAACTAAAATATTAATATTAATAGAATAAAACAGTTTAAATAAACATAAATAAAACAGTTTAAATAATGAGCAAGTTGTTGTTTCTGAGCTTTAATCCGATGAAATTGTATGTACTAGACTCTTTTAGTAGGTAAATGGGTTGATTTGAGAAAGGCAAGGCGACAAGCAGTATGTTTGACTAAGGTTTTATAGTGTTTAATGTAGTGTTTATGGTAAGGAATATAGGGAATTGACATGATGTGACTCACTATCCACCCTGTAAAAATTCTCGAGTAAGGAAATCAGGAATAGAATTTTGACAACCAAGTATATATTCAATTTTAAAATAAAAAATACTTAAAATAGATTGCCAACGAGCGAAAATTTGCTTGCTAGCAAGATTTTGAACATTTTTTTCTAAAACATATTTAGCAGATTTGCAATCAACACGAAGTAAAAAATTTTGATTTAAAATATCATCTTGAAATTTACTAATACATAAAACAGTAGATAAAATTTCTTATTTAATAGTACTATAATTCTTTTGTGCTTTATTCCAGACACCAGAATGATAACGAACAATTTGTTCAGATGACTGGGGAGTAATTTTCTGGAGAAGGATACCAACATAACCAATATCAGAGGCATCAATTTGAATAATTTTGAATGAATTCTCAGTAGAACTACCAAGACAAGGAAGAGACTTGGCATAGTGTTTAACTTGTTTAACAATATCAGTATGAGTAGAAGACCAAGGAGGAGGATTGTCATTTAACCTATCAAACAAGCGTTGACAAGTTTTCCTAAGGTCTTTGTAAAATTCAGCAATATAATTAAGTGATCCTAAAAAGCATTGTAATTGGGTTTTATCTAAAATTTCATCAGGAAACTTAGACGCAAACTCAATGGATCGACTAATAGGTAGAATAGTATTTTTGTGAACATCATATCCTAAAAATCGGACTTTGGTTTGAAATAATTTAATCTTAGGAGCAGAAATAAGTAGACCATGACTCTTAATAGTATAAAAGAATGCAGTAAGGTGTTTCCAGTGTTCATGAATGGATTTAGAGAAAATAAGTATATCATCAATGTAAACGATGGAAAAATGACTAAATGGATTAAAAATATCATTCATTATATGTTGAAATTCACTAGAAGCATTTTTTAATCCAAACGGCATGACATTCCATTCATAGTAACCAAAAGGTGTAGTGAATGCGGTTTTATATCTATCTTTAGGATGAATTTGTATTTGTCAAAAACTACTTTTTAAATCAAATTTACTAAAAATAACAGCTTGACTAAGTCTTTTGATTAAGTCTTTTTTATTAGGAATAGGATATCGAATCCATTCTAAAACTTTATTTAATGGTTTATAATTGATGACTAAGCGAGGGACACCTCGTTCTAATTCAGCATTTTTATTAACATAAAAAGCAGGATAAGATCATGGTGATTTACTAGGACTAATAATTCGATTTTTTTAATAGTTCATTGATTTCTTTTTTACACATTTCAACTAATTTATGATTCATTTTAAGAGGGTAATTTATAAATAAATTGGACCGAGCTGGGTAAACGGGTCGCGGTAAAAAGGGCCGAGTGAAAGGACCTTGCAGTTAGCTCGGTCCAATTGTACTTGGGGTTACCACGGTCGGTGTGGTGTAATTAGCTCGGTCATACCATTTCTGAGCCGAGATGATTTGAGCTTTCCTCAGGACCTTGCTCTTGATTAGCTCGGTCCAAGCTTTCTATGGTTAGCTCGGTCTCGACGAACCAAACCGAGGTACAAGCAATGAAGTGAAGAATCGAGCTAGGTGGAGCTCAGTCATTTTTGCCGCTTTAGCATGGCTATGTTAGCTTGGTTGTTTTGTCATACTACCGAGGTAAAACCATCTCACTTGGTTTAAGCAGTGAGGGAGGTGTTGAAGGATAAGCATTATCTTTCAGAAGTGTGATTCCTAGGAGGACTCTACATGGAGAATAAGAGTCTTACTAGGATTGTGCCACGCGGAACCTATAAAAGCTCACAACATCACTTGTGGAGAGGTAACACAACTTTGATTCTCGAATACACAGAGCTTTTGTCTATTTGTCTATTTTGCTGACTTAGGCATCGGAAAGGTATCCGGCACACACTCGCCGGTTAGCTCACGTTTGTGTTTTTAGGGAGTAAAGCGACGACGTTTGAAGGAGCGCAGACTTGGTCAACAAGATTATACGAGAAGAATTATTTCGTGCTCGTACAATTAGCACTGTCTGTGGGAAGTCCAGAAAGAACAAAACCTCTTGATCAAGTTTTTCCTCTCTAATTGGAAGCAATGGCGCATAACGAAGTTTTGCCACAATCCGCTATCGACGGACAAACCCCTGAGGGGGGTGGGAGGCGCGAAGGTTTTCCTGCTATCCCTCCCATGGCGGATTTAGAACCCTAGCGACAGAACCCCCGGAGGGATGTAAGGGGGAGGCGGGCTAGCAGCCCCCGTCACTCTCAAAGTCCTAAAAGACAGAGGCAGAGGATCGACCCTCAAGTTCTGGAAGATCGTGTGAAGGAGCAGGACGAGTTGATAAGGAAGATAGCGGCAGACATGGAGTCAATGAAGCGCCAGATGAAAGGAAAATGGGTGGCGACAGGAGAGGGGCGCAAAAGCAACACGCCCCCTCGCCACTCGAAAGATCGTGGTAGGCATACCATACCATCGCAAACAGAGAGTAGGAGCCTAAGAACAGGCGACACTCAGTCAAGAACTCCCAGGACCCGTTACTCTAGGTCTGAGAGAACGAGAACTGAGAGGTCATATACTGAGGGAAGCACTTATCGGCCCTCGAGCACGCACCAGACGTCATCCAGGCAGACGGAGTTGCCTAGATCATCCGATTTGCAAACCGTTCTAGAAGAAAGGGCATGATGGAAGGAAGATACCAGGGCGCGCGACCCGCGCAGTGTTTCAGCCCTTCAGCGGTTGGCTTCTCGGACGCATGGGAGCGTCGAGGTAGGAATGCCAATATCGCGCCTTGTTTACAAGCCAACAGACAAAGCATTAGCAAGACTGCAGACCTCGCCGTTCGTTCCGACAATTGAGAACGCACCACTACCTTCGGGCTTTCACTAGCCCAAATTCACCACTTATGAGGGGAAGACGGACCCTTACATGCACTTTCGCCACTTTCGCCAGGTTATGGCAATATACCGGCGAAACGAGGCTTTAATGTGCATCATGTTTCTGTCCAGCCTAGGCGACCTGGGTCTAACTTGGTTCGAAAGGCTACCAGAAGCAGCATCGCCTCCTGAGCACAATTGGCAGAGGCGTTCGTGACAAGGTTTAGAACGAACACCAAGACACTAATGGAGATCGATCAGCTACTCTCCATTGATATGGGCGACAAAGAAACATTGAGGTCCTATAACAGTCGCTACTGGGAAACTTTCAACCAGATAGGAGATTGTCCTACAAACCTTGCCATCGCACAATACAAACGGGGCTTGCCAGTCGGCAACAAATTAAGGGATTCAATCACTATGACCCCTCCCCTTACGATAGAGGCCTTAATGGAGAGAGTGCACCAACATATTCGTGTGGAAGAGGACGGCGCCCGTGCTAAGGCAAAATCTAGTACAACAGCAATACCAGATAAAAAGACTTCGGCAAAAGTCAACACGGTAGAACAACCAAGCAGGATTGGGAGAGGTAGACGGGCCAATAAAGAGGATCCAGACAAAAGGTGGCTAAGAATTTGCACTGTCATTACCACGGTGTTCAAAAAACCAATTTACCAGATTCTCAGTGAGATACGCGATGAACCTTTTGTCAGATGGCCAACTAAGTTGGGAGAAGCAAAGAAGGACTATGACGAAAGGTCCCGGTGCACCTTCCATAATGAAAAGGGGCACCGCACTGAGAATCGCACGCGCATTGAGACAGTACTTGGAGGAGTTAGTGGCAGTTGGACACCTGGACCAGTACATAGAAGGGGGGACACAGCCAGCCCCCCAGAACCACGACAACCCAAATGGAATACCGATCGACGCCCCACCTCAAGGCGTGATTAACGTAATACATGGGGTATTCGAATCTGAGCGAGTATGTGAGCTCAGGGGAAAGATCAAGAAGGCTGAGCACTTAAAGGAGGTATTAAGTGCACAACCTGCCATCAAAAAGGGGAGAACAGAAGCCACGAATGTCATATCTTTTTCAGATAGAGACTTGGCAAGGATATATTGCCCTTACAATGATGCACTAGTCGTCACACTCCGCGTCAAGGATTACGACATCAAACGGATTTTGATCGGCCAAGGAAGCTCGTGTGAGATAATGTATTACGAAACCTTCAAACAATTGAAACTGGAGGATAAAGACTTAGCGCCTGCAACA